TCACCCAGGCTGGAGTGCAATGGCACTATCTTGGCTCACTGCAACCTCCACCTCCCAGTTTCAAGCAATTCTCCTGCCTCAGGCTCCCAAGTAGCTGGGATTACAGGCGCATGCCACCATGACCGGTTAATTTTTGTATTTTTAGTAGAGATGTGGTTTCACCGTGCTGGTCAGGCTGGTCTCGAACTCCTGACCTCGTGATCTGCCTGCCTCAGCCTCCCAAAGGGCTGGGATTACAGGGGTGAACCACCGCACCCAGCCTGTATTTTTAGTAGAGTCGGGGTTTCGCCATATTGGCCAGGCTGGTCTCGAACGCCTGACCTCAAGTGATCTACCCGCCTCAGCCTCCCAAAGTGCTGAGATGACAGGCGTGAGTCATCGCACCCGGCCTAAGAGCACCATTTATTGGGCACTTGTTGTGTTCTGAATACAGGGCTAAGACTTTACCTACATTTTCTCGGCCAATCCTGCTTATGTTAAGGATGAAAAAACTCTGGCTCTGAAAGATTGAATTTGCTTGCTGGAATGAGGGAAGGCCATACTAGTTAGGCCCAGATTTTCTGGTCTCCAAAGTTCTGCTCCACACTGCCTACCTCTGGGACTAAAGGCAGCCCTGGCAAACTGCACGTCCCCAACTTCCATCCAAAGGGACTTGACATCATTGCTCTTTCCCTCCACTCAGTTTTCCTCATCTGCAAAGTGGGAACGAGAAAGCTCTTTGTCTCCTGGGCTACTGTGAAAGTCAGAGGGGAAAGGACTTCCTGAACCAGATTGTGTGTGAGTTGGGTGCTAGGCACAGGAGCCTTGGAGATGCCCATGGGTGGTTGATGCCTCCTCTCCTGCTGGCCATCAGGGCAGCCCAAGAGCTCCCCTTCTGGAGACCAGAACCTAAGAAGAACCTATTTTGTCCATAGGGAAACCAAGGCCCAGAGAAGGAGGAGGGGGTGCACAGGCCAACCTCCCGATGCCTCTCTGAGTCTCAGTTTCCCCATCTGGGAAGTGGGCGTCATGGGGTTGGCTGGATGTGGTGGCTCACGCCTGTAATCCCAGTACTTTGGGAGGCTGAGGTGGGAGTAATATGTGAGGTCAGGAGTTTGAGACCAGCCTGGGCAACATGGTAAAACCCTGTCTCTACCAAAAATACAAAAATTAGCCAGGTGGGGAGGGGGTGGTGGCCCATGCCTGTGGTCTTAGCTACTTGGGAGGTTGACGCAGGAGCCTGGGAAGTTGAGGCTGCAGTGAGCCATGACTGCACCACTGCACTCCAGCCTAGGTGACAGTGAGACCATGTCTCAAAAAAGAAAAAAAATTTAAATTTAAATTTATAAAAACCAACAAAACAAACCTCATGGGGTTGTTTGAGTGGAGTGAAAATACTGTTGGAGACAACATTTTCCCATGAGATCTTTAAACCAAGTTGACCCGGACTCGAATGCCCACAGCCTGACTCAGTGTTTTACTTTTTTTTTTTTTTTTTTTTTTTGAGACAGCGTCTAACTCTGTCACCCAGGCTGGAGTGCAGTGGCACAATCTCGGCTCACCGTAACCTTCATGCCCAGCTAGCTAAGTTTTGTATTTTTAGGAGAGACAGAGTTTCGCCATGTTGGCCAGGCTGGTCTCGAACTCTTGACCTCCAGTGATCCACCCGCCTTGGCTTCCCAAAGTGCTGGGATGACAGGCATGAGCCAGGGCACCCGGCCTCAGTGTTTACTTCTCTGAGCCTCTGGAAAGGGGCTTCTCCTTCCACCCAGAGTGGCTGTAAAGACTCATTCACTCCTTTGTTCGCTCATGCGTTCATCTGTTCTTTCACAGGGTACCTACAGTGTGTCAGGATCTGTGGGCACTGGGATGATGACCAAGACACACAAAAGTCCTGCCCTTGTGGGCATCAAATCCAAGGAAGCAGCAGGAAAAATAAATAAATAAATAAATAAATATCTAAGACAATAAATGGGGGAGAAAGTAAAGCAGGAGCTGGAGGAAGACAGAGCAGCGGCAGGAGCTCCGGAGGCCTGTCTGGGGAGGTGACCTTTGAGTAGACACCTGAATAAAGTAAGAGAAGTAGCTGTGACATTATCTAACAGAGCATGTCCAGGCAGTGGGAGCTGCAAGTGCCAAGGTCCTGGGGCAGAAGCGGTGGGAAATGAAGTTTGAGAGGTCCGAGATCCTGACCTGCAGGGAGGAGGGATTCCAGGGTTCTCAGCCGGGGAGGGAGGGATGCGGTGAGATTTGCATTAAAAGGACTCCCCAGGCGGCTGGAAGAAGGGACTGCAGGAGGCAAGGGCAGCCCAGCTTCGTAGAGATGGCAGCCAAGGACAGGGTGATCCCGGCCCCCCAGGAGGCCCCCTGAATGCCAGCGCTGCCCGGCACTTGCCCTCACTGCCCCAGATGGGCGAGGTGGGGTGGACACGGTTCTTGGGACGGCCCTGATGATTTTCCGGGGCAAACTTGGCTCGAGGGCTCTGTCTTGCTGGAGCCTGGAATCGCAGTTGCGCTTGGGGCTTGGCCCAGGGCTCGCCGGAGGTCTCCGCGTCCGTGCGAAGGAGCCGGCTGAGCGGGCCAGAGTCGAGGAGGCGGG